TTATGCCTATCCGGCAATTCCAAACCACTACTTATACCTTCCAAAGAGCCAAAACACTCAGCTGTAACCTATCTAGCTCCTGAGTTCTCTCTTAAAATCTCTGACAATGCAACATTCTCACTAAGGCAGCTTATGGCACACTGATAATTTAAGTACATAGTAAAATAAATTCTACACATTCTTCTATTATGATAATTAGTGAGACTATCTCATCTGCATAGGATCTTTTGGGCCTGAATCCAGCCTCTTCTCCCCTAAGCTTTGAATCCACTGCCTCTTTTGTCCTGTGTAGAATCACACTACAGATGATTTGCCCTACAACAGAGAGTAGTGTGACTCCCCTCCAGTTATTGCCGTCAGTGAGATCACCCTTTTGAGGTAATCTGCCAACGATTCCATGTTTTGACTTGTCAGGAGGAGTCTCTTCTTCCTGAACTTAGAACAGTTCTGTCAGTTTTATAAGGGTAGTGGGGTCAAGTTCTTTTAGCTTTTCTGCTGCTATTTGATCATCACCTGCCATTTTGTTGTTTTTCAGCTTCTTAATTGCATCCTGTATTGCTGACATCTCTGTTGCATTCATGTTAATGCCAAGTAGATTATGTTCACATGTTTCATCACTATCTGGTGTTGAGCTGGGACTGAGTCTGTTGAGGACTTGTCTGAAATGCTCTGCCCATCTGTCTTTCTGTTACACCTCAGTTGTAAGCCTTTTTTCATCTTGGCTTTTTCTTGGCCCATTTCCTGTTTGAAATGTCCACACTTTTCACTGCGTTGTCTGCTTTCTTGTACTTTTCCTTTGCTTTTTCCAATATTTCGTTTGTCTTAGCATTCAGGAGTTTTCCTTTCGGTTCTTTTCTTTCCTTGTTGAGATGCAAGGTCTCTTGGCTTATCCAGTCCTTGCTCTGTGTGTGTGCTGATACCAGGCTATGAGTGCTGCAGCTTGAATCACGTTGTCTCAGAGCACTGTGCAGTTTTCTTCGGGTCCAATCTCTATCTCACCTTCCTCTGCCTCTGTCAGCACCCCAAATCTGTTCCATAGTTCGCGTTGGAATTTCTCAGAGCACACTTTTGTTTTCATATTATTGATTTCTTTGCCGCTTTCTGTTTAAAGTTGGTCTTTCCCAGTTTTAATTTTAGTTTGGCAATGCAAAGATTTTGGTTGCTCCTGTCATCTGTAGCTTGATGTGCCCTTGCATCTTGGACAGATGACGTGACTAGGCAGCACCATTCTAGCCAACAGGAACATCAAGAATAATATGCCATCAAGGTTAAGAAAAGCATCCACCTAATTCACTAAACTCAACAACACATGGACATCAAAGATATACAGCACCAAAGCAAAACTGAGAATTTTCAGCTCAAAAGTCTCCGTGATAACGTATGGCTGTGATAGCTAAAGATCTACTAAAATGTTAAACAGAAAATTAGATGCCTTCGAAAATAAGTGCCTGCAAAGATTCCGGACATTGGATGGAGAGACGTCATCACCAATAAATATATCTGAGAAATCACCAGCCAGCAGCTTATTTCCACTAGAATTAGAAGGAAGTATTGGACATACTGCATATGGGGCATGCACTTCAGATGCCAACACACAGAGTCCCACATGAAGCTGTCAAGTGGAAACCAACTGGGTTAGGAAATGATGGTGCCCAGAGACCTTAAAAAGAACCCTTCACAGCGAGGTCAGAATAGTTGATCATAACACCATCGAGTAGATGGAAGTAGTATCAAATGACAGAGAGGAATGGAAGAGATTAGTTTCACCCTGGGCATCAACATTGACATGATTATTTTGCCTCTGTATTTGGCACTGGTGTGACCACTGCTGGAATACTGTGTCCAGATCTGGTGCCCACAATTGAAGAAGGATGCAGATAAATTGGAAAGGGCTCAGAGAAGAGCCATGAGAATGATTAAAGGAGTAGATAATGTGCCTTATAGCAATAGACTCAAGGAGTTCAGTCTGTTTATCCTAACAAAGAGAAGTTTAAGGATGACTTGATTACAATCTATAAGTACCTATATGGGGAACAATCTAGCAGAGAAAGGTATAATACAATTCAATGGTTGGCAGTTGAACCTAGACAAATTTAGACTGGAAATAAGGCATAAATGTTTAACTGTGAGAGTAATTAGCCACTGTAACAATTTACCAAGTGTCATGGTGGATTCTCGATCAATGACAATTTTTAAATCAGAATTGGATGTTATTCTAAAAGATATGTTTAGGAATTATTTGGGAGAAGTTTTATGGCCAGGAAGTCATACAGAGCGGTGGGAAGCAGTGGCTAGCGTGAGGCTTCCCACAGTTCCCATTGGCCAGTGGGAGCTGCGGGGCGTTATACAGGAAATCAGACTAGATGACCACAATGGTTCCTTCTGGCCAGAGAATCTATTAATCTATGAATCTATCAATTTAATTCTAGGTTTGTGATCACTAATCCATCAAAAGCAATGAAAAATATTATCTATAAGTAATATAGACATAAAAGTGCAAATATGTTGTGTTGGCTGCAAGAACCATTCTATGGTGCCAGTGGATTCTAGAGCAGGGGTCTGCAACCTTTGGCACGCAGCCTGTTAGGGTAAAGACGCTGGTGGGCTGGGCCGGTTTGTTTATCTGGAGCGTCTGCAGGCACGGAACTCCGCAGCTCCCACTGGCTGTGGTTTGCCGTTCCCAGCCAATGGGAGCTGCGGAAAGCGGCATGGGCCGAGGGACGTGCTAGCCACTGCTTCCCACAGCTCTCATTGTCCGGGAACGGCAAACCGCAGCCAGTGGGAGGTGCGGGGCTCCGTGCCTGCGGACGCTCCAGATAAACAAACCACCCTGGCCCACCAGTGGCTTTACCCTGATGGGCTGTGTGCCAAAGAGTGCCTACCCATGCTCTAGAGGTAACAGTACAAAGTGTATTAGTTATTGTGTAACGGTCTGTCTGTGGGGAAAAAAACAAAACTTGTCCTCAGATCCCGACATTAGAAGATGGACTTGGCTTGGCCTTTATCTCATGTTTAAGGCGAAAGATAATCCAGGATAAGGCTGTGAATAAAAACAGGAACTGGAATAAAATCTCTGTGAGTCCAAATATTGTCCCAACAGCAGATGGAAGAGAAGCTGAAAAAAGGAAGTCTGCTCCATTGATTCTGCAGCTATGCTTGTGAGAGTATTAGGATGCAAAAATGTCAATAATTGAATGGTTTTTCTGTTTGAGATCATTAACATTTATTTCTATAATTTTTCTCCTTAATAAGTAGCATCTAGCTCCTGGTTTGATCACGTCAGAGGCTGGTCCACCCACAGGGAAGAGTTCAATATTCTCTTCCTTACCTATGAGGAAATGAAGAAGGTGAGACCAGTCAATGACTTTATATCTGAAAGAAACAGTAAATAAAATGCCTCCATTTTTCAGTCTAATTTTGCTACCCTTACTCACATTGAGCTGTTCTTTACTCTGTGAAGACTCGTGTTCATTTCACAGAATAAGGTACATTGTTCTCATTGATTTCAATGCGAGTACTTGAAAAAGTACTTCTCAGTGTGAGTAAGGGTGGAAGAATCAGAACCGTAGTGTGAGATGTTCAGAAGCACCAAAGTAAGTTAGCCGCTTAACTCCCATTGACATTCAATAGCACATAGGAGCCTAATTCACTTAGTTACAAAAGGTGCCATTTGCTTCCTAATGAAGAATATCTGCTGGATGTGAGTACAGTTAGAAAAGATAATAATCTTGCTTTACTTCATTTCCTTTCCTGACTAGCAGGATGGCAGCTACACAACCCATCCCACCAGGCATCCTAAGGGGAAAGGAGAGATTTTGTTACATTTTAGAAATTCTCAAACTGCTTTTAGAACTGAAGATCTCCTTGTAATTTTTTGTGAAAAATGATATTTTGTTGCACTGACTATTCAAAACTAGGTTTTTAGTAAATAAAATATATTAATAACTGTTAGAGAGCTTATTCCTTTACTCTCCCACTTCCCTGGTCCTTCTTGCATGAACAGAGAGCAACAATACCTGAAGTCTGAAGGTGCAAACAATTTGATGTTTATTGGGGTGAACTTCCAGCAAGCTTAAATCCAAGTTCCTTTTTCCTTATTTTGGAATCCCAACTTACTTCCTGTTTGCCCATAATATATATAGTAATATTCTTAGCTATACCTTAACCAAACATTCTACTAAAATTTACCTAACCAATCCTAACATATTGTAACATGATTAACTAACCAATTATCTCCCACCACCTTAATTAGTTTACACCCAGCAAAATTAATTATACAGCAGACAGAAACAATTACAGAACCAGACAAAGACCATGCAAATAAGCATAGCAAAGTGGGAACTATAATGACAAAACAATACTGAAGTGAGGATTTTACAACTACATCTATACAGACATAAGGGTTTCCCAGCTGTGTTTATTGATAAGTGAGTTCTTACCAGACAGAAAACTATCAAACTAAATTTCCTTTACATTTTCTAGGCTCTTTCCTTTCTCTGGAGGTGATCGATTGGATCACCTTCCTAACAGCCCCAGATTGCCTTATTTCAATATGGCTAGTTTGGAATGTGAGCATGTGACCACAGGCTTTCCAGCTCATGGCTGCCTCTTAGCCAAAGGCATTGGCCTAAGAACAGAGCCTCAGACTGTCACAGTGAGAGAAGGCCCTTACACAGATTCTTTCTTTTATACCTCTATAACTAGCTAAATGATAAACATATACCTAAATTCTTAAAGTATAGGCCTTTACAGACAGGCTTGAATATCTATATCCTAACACTCTACCCCTTTCTTTCTTTTGGGATTTTTCTGCCCATGTATTTCTGGAAAGCATAGAACATATGGCGACACACTTTTTGATAGGGCCTGGCATTAAGGTGGAAGGTGTTGATGCTTTATTTGTTTTACTGCACCTTGTGTAGTACCATGCCTTGCACCTTTTTTTGTATGGGCATACCACATCTATTTTAATTAGTGTTTTAGACTTTTTATTATAGTGGGCCCGAGAAGGTTGGGTTCGGGTTGTTTAGTACACTGAGGGGGAGGGCTTACTACATTACTTATAGGTTATAATTAGTGGCTGTTTGTTAGGGGGTTGTGCCCCCCTTGATTGTTTTTATATCCAACGTGACACAAATACAGTTAACAATACACCAGCTGCTATGATAATTTACAGCAACACTGAGAGTTCTGACCACTGCAGTATGGTCCAACATTTTGGCCACCACCAAAAACACTGCTTTTTCTTTTTTGATAGGGTTAAAATTTTGTCAGTGCCATTTTGTAGTGTGTATTGTAAGTGTGTTCAACTGTTGGCGCTTGCAGCAAGTTGCTTTTGTAATTTTTGTGTACTTTTGTTTATATTGTGTGTTTATTGAATATTTACAGTGAAATATGGTATTGTTTAAACCAATTTAACTACTTGGTACGGCATGGGGTAGTAGGTGCTGGTTTGATTGTTTACAACTATTAAGTTTACTGATTCACTGGTGCACCATAGTTTAGGTGTCAGTGTATAGAAGTTTATATTTGGTTATATACTGGAAGGATTTTGCCTTCTAGTGTTATATTGCAGGATTGCATACATTTTTAACAGAATACACCGTACCCCATATACATTACCTCTAAATGCCCCCCCTTTGCAATAGGCCATTTGTTTTGCTTCTTCATAGTTATAGGACGGGGGCACATTTATATATATATATTTTTGATATACAACTGCTTAATGTGATGACAGTTTAATTTACCCCATTCCACCCCCACCCCCATCCCGCACCTATTTCCTAGTGGCTCCCAATGCGCTTCTCCTTTCCTAGTTACTTCCACAGGGTTTAAGGGGACCACCTTATTTGCATTTTCTTTCCATGGTATTATAGTAACAATTACTCAAGAACTTTTTTTACAGGTGGGGGATGTTATTTTTTAGGTAGCTGGGTATGTTTTTGCAATTGTGGATAAATATGGGTTAGCCTTTTGATTTAATACTGAAGACCATTGTTTTGACCAAGCTTTTTTATAATATTTATTAACATTATTAACTGAGCATTTTGAATACCGACACACATTTTTTCCCATGTTAGTTTTTTGAAGCCACCCCCCACCCATGTTACCAGGTCCCCTGCCCAATGAGTTAACTGCAAGTTTACCTTTACTGCTGTCCGTCACCCTATGGCAACTGCCAATAGTTGCTGTACTATTAATTTATTAATTTGTTGTTGAAATTTTATATTTTGACTTACTAATTGTTTGGTTACCCACTTATTCCCCGATCTTATGTACCCAACATAGTGTTTTCCGCCGCCCACAATTCCCTTTTTATTCAAAACTAGGTTTTTAGTAAATAAAATATATTGATAACTATTTTGTTGTTTTCAATAAAGATATCTATGTGAAATCTTTGAAAAGTACAGAACTCTTCAAAATTCCAATTTTTTTTAGAAACTAGTTTTTCACTTTTCTACCACCTCAGCTAGCTTTTAACTCCTTAACAACTTCACCTAGCTTAGCAGAAGTCAGATTTAAACTACTTTGAGTGTCCGTACATGGGTTTGTTCTGGTTGAAATAAATCAATTTTAAACTGATTTTAGTCACACTTTATAAACAAGGTCTGGAGTATCTGAGTGCACCTCTTAGCTAAATAGGTAGTGATGCAGCAGCATCCTCTCTGCTGACTTCAGCAGGAAGCATGTTGATAGTAGCAGTAAGGCTGATTAACAAAGCGAGGAAAGACCCTTCCCATTAAGAGGTCCAACTCCTGATATATATATTCATAGATTCCAAGGCCAGAAGGGACCATTGTGATCATCTTGTCTCACCTCCTGTATAACACAGACCGCAGAACTTCCCCAAAATAATTTCTACAGAAGATCTTTTAGAAAAATATCCAATCTTGATTCAAAAATTGTCAGTGATGGAGAATCCACCATGACCCCCTGGAATATTGTTCCAATGGTTAATTACCCTCACTCTTAAAAATGTAAACCTTATTTCTAGTCTGAATTTGTTTAGCTTCAACTTCCAGCCCTTGGATTGTGTTATAATTTTCTTTGCTAGACTGAAGAGCCCATTAATAAATATTTGTTCCCCATGTAGGTAGTTATAGTCTGTAATCAAGTCACCTCTTAACCTTCTCTTTGTTAAATTAAATAAGAACATAAGAACGGCCATACTGGGTCAGACCAAAGGTCCATCTAGCCCAGTGTCCTGTTTTCCGACAGTGGCCAATGCCAGCTGCCCCAGAGGGAATGAACCTAACAGGCAATGATCAAGTGATCGCTCTCCTGCCATCCATCTCCACCCTGTGACAAACAGAGGCTAGGGACACCATTCCTTACCCATCCTGGCTAATAGCCATTAACGGATTTAACCTCCATGAATTTATCCAGTTCTCTTTTAAATGCTGTTTAAAAGCTGAAGTTAAAAAACTGAAGGTTCCAAATAAGAAATCACCTTTATGCTTTAGTGTTATATCCCTATGCTCAGTTTCCCTTTATTTAAGTATCCCATTATCCTTCACTCTATTATTTTATTTATTTAGTTATTTTATTTTTCTAATTTGGGAAACTGTTACTTTGAAATAATGTTCATTTCAGGATCTCAGAGGCGCTGTGCTGAAAATCTGCAAATTCTTAGGAAAGCAGCTAAATGAAAAGGAGCTGGACACTGTTGTGGAAAAGGCTACATTTGATAAAATGAAAACTGATCCCAGGGCAAACTATGATTCCATGCAAAGCAATCTCCTGGAACAAGGCAAAGGACATTTTCTTCGGAAAGGTGAGGCAGAAGCAGCCAAATCTAATAAATATTTAATCCTGCAGATCCTGGCACAGGACGTGTTGAAGCTAGCTGCCTAGGACTTCCAATCACAACTTTCTGTCCCCAGGAAACAATTGGCTTTGGGTCACTAAGACAGCTGAGTGAGGTTGTATCACTGTGTAACAATGGGTATGTCTACACTACGGGATTATTCCGATTTTACAGAAACCGATTTTTGGAAAGAGATTGTATGAAGTCGAGTGCACGCGGCCATACTAAGCACATTAATTCGGCAGTGTGTGTCCATGTACGGAGGCTAGCATCGACTTCCGGAGCGTTGCACTGTGGGTAGCTATCCCATAGCTATCCCATAGTTCCCGCAGCCTCCCCCACCCATTGGAATTCTGGGTTGAGATCCCAATGCCTGATGGGGCAAAAAACATTGTCGCTGGTGGTTCTGTGTACAGCCTCACCCCTCCCTCCATGAAAGCAACGGCAGACAACCGTTTCGAGCCTTTTTTCCTGGGTGAACACTGCACTGCGTTCACCATACCACGTCAAGCATGGAGCCCGCTCAGCTCAAGACAGCAATCATGAACATTGTAAACACCTTGCGCATTCTCGTGCAGTTTATGCTGAACCAGGACCAGAAAAACCAGGCGAGGAGGAGGCGGCGACTGCAGCGCGGTGACGAGAGTGATGAGGACATGGACATGGACACAGAATTCTCTCAAACCACGGGCCCCAGCGCTTTGGAGATCATGTTGTTAATGGGGCAGGTTTAGTCGTGGAATGCCAATTCTGAGCCCGGGAAACAAGCACAGACTGGTGGGATCACATAGTGTTGCAGGTCTGGGATGATTCCCAGTGGCTGCGAAACTTTCGCATGCGTAAGGGCACTTTCATAGAACTTTGTGACTTGCTTTCCCCTGCCCTGACTTGCCAGAATACCAAGATGAGAGCAGCCCTCACAGTTGAGAAGCGAGTGGCGATAGCCCTGTGGAAGCTTGAAAGGCCAGACAACTACCGGTCAGTCGGGAATCAATTTGGAGTGGGCAAATCTACTGTGGGGGCTGCTGTGATACAAGTAGCCAAAGCAATCACTGAGGTGCTGCTACCAAAGGTAGTGACTCTGGAAAATGTGCAGGTCATAGTGGATGGCTTTGCTGCAATGGGATTCCCTAACTGTGGTGGAGCGATAGATGGAACCCATATCCCTATCTTGGCACCGGAGCACCAGGGCAGTCAGTATATAAACCGCAAGGGGTACTTTTCAATGGTGCTGCAAGCACTGGTGGATCGAAAGGGACGTTTCACCAACATCAACGTGGGCTGGCCGGGAAGGGTTCATGACGCTCGTGTCTTCAGGAACACTACTCTGTTTAAACGGCTGCAGGAAGGGATTTACTTCCCAGACCAGAAAATAACCGTTGGGGATGTTGAAATGCCAATAGTTATTCTTGGGGACCCAGCCTACCCCTTAATGCCATGGCTCATGAAGCCATACACAGGCAGCCTGGACAGTAGTCAGGAGCTTTTCAACTACAGGCTGAGCAAGTGCAGAATGGTGGTAGAATGTGCCTTTGGACATTTAAAGGGATGCTGGCGCACGTTACTGACTCGCTCAGACCTCAGTCAAACCAATATTCCCATTGTTATTGCTGCTTGTTGTGTGTGCCACAATCTCTGTGAGAGTAAGGGGGAGACCTTTATGGAGGGGTGGGAGGCTGAGGCAAATCACCTGGCCGCTGATTACGTGCAGCCAGACACCAGGGCGCTTAGAAGAGCACACCAGGAAGTGCTGCGCATCAGAGAAGCTTTGAAAACCAGTTTCATGACTGGCCAGGCTACGGTGTGAAAGTTCTGTTTGTTTCTCATTGATGAAAACCCGCTCCCTTGACTCATTCTCTGTAAGCAACCCACCCTCCCCCTTCGATCACAGCTTGCTTTCAAAGGAAATAAAGTCACTATCGTTTAAAAATCATTTATTCTTTATTAATTGATTATAAAAAGAGGGAGAGAACTGACAAGGTAGCCCCGGGTGGGATTTGGGAGGAGGATATGAGGGAAGGAAAAGGCCACTAAAAAGTTTAAAATAATGACAGCCTTTTGGTTGGGCTGTCCACTGGGGTGGAGTGGGAGGGTGCACGGAGCCTCCCTCCCTGCATTCTTACACGTCTGGGTGAGGAAGCTATGGAACATGGTGAGGGGGGAGGGTGGTTATACAGGGGCTGCAGCGGCAGTCTGTGATCCTGCTGTCGTTCCTGAAGCTCCACCAGACGCCGGAGCATGTCCGTTTGCTCACGCAGCAGCCCCAGAGTTGCATCCTGCCTCCTCTGATCTTCCTGCCGCCACCTCTCATCTCGAGCGTCTCTCCTCTCCTCACGTTGGTCCCTTCTTTCCTCAAGTTGGTCCCTTATGTCCTCATGTTGGTCCCTCCTGTCCTCACGTTCACTGGCCTCTTTCCTGTACTTTGAAACTGCGTCCTTCCACTCATTCAGATGAGCTCTTTCATTGTGGGTCGATTCCATGGTTTCCGAGAACATTTCATCTCTCGTCCTTTTTTTCCACCTCCTTATCTCAGATAGCCTTCGGGACGGAGGAGGGAGGCTTGAAAAATTTGCAGCTGCGGGAGGGAGGGAAAAAAGAGAGAGAAATATTTAAAAAGATACATTTTACAGAACAATGCTTATACTCTTTCACGGTGAACAACACTATTCACATTACATAGCACATGTGATTTTGGTACAAGGTCACATTTTGCATCTTAATATTGAGTGCCTGCGGCTTTGGTGTTAGAGAGCACAGACGCAGGTCTGGGCAACAGAATTTGGCTTGCATGCGGCCATGGTAAGCCATTGTCTTTCGGCTTCTGTAGCCTTCAGAAAAGCAGCACCCTGCTTTCCCACATACCAAGCAAAGCCCGTTGAGTGCTGCGGTTTTCCTGTTAACGTGCAGCAGCAGAAACCAAACTACCCCCCCCAATCCAATTCTCTGGGATGATCGCTTTATCCCTCCCCCTCACCGCGTGGCTGGTATCAGGGAAGATCCCTGCTAGCCAAACGCGAAAAGCTCAGCGCCAATGATCCCCCTCCCCGCCCCCCCGCTTGGCTAACTGCAGGGAAGGATTTCTTTTCAGCCACAGGCAAACAGCCCAGTAGGAACGGGGTTCTGTCCCCTTAATTAAATTCCTGTATTTCAACCAGGTTACCATGAACGATATCACTCTCCTGAGGATAACACAGCGAGATAAAGAACGGATGTTGCTTGAATGTCAGCAAACACCGGGACCATACGCTGCCAGGCTTTGTCATGCAATGATACCAGATTACTTGCTACTAGCATGGCGTGGTCAAGTGTCCTACCATGGAGGACGGAATAAGGCTGCACTGCCCAGAAACCTTGTGGAAAGGCTTTTGGAGTACCTCCAGGAGAGCTTCATGGAGATGTCCCTGGAGGATTTCCGCTCCATCCCCAGACACGTTAACAGACTTTTCCAGTAGCTGTACTGGCCGCGAATGCATCCCAAGTCCTCAGGGCAAATTAATCATTAAAAAATGCTTGCTTTTAAACCATGTTTTATATTTACAAAGGTACACTCACCAGAGGTCCCTTCCATGGCCTCATTGTCTGGGGGTTGGGAGGGTACTTCTGTCAGGCTGAGAAAAAGATCCTGGCTGTTAGGGAGAATGGAGTGCTGTGTGCTCTCTGCGAGCTCTTCCTCCTCCTCCTCCTCCTCCTCCTCCTCATCTTCCCTGTCCGCAGAATCCACAGGCATGGCTGAGATTACCCCCTCCTCGGAATCCACGGTCAGAGGTGGGGTAGTGGTGGCGGCACCCCCTAGAACTGCATGCAGCTCAGCATAGAAGCGGCATGTCTGCGGCTCTGCCCCGGACCTTCCGTTTGCTTCTTTGGTTTTCTGGTAGGCTTGTCTGAGCTCCTTAACTTTCATGCAGCACTGTAGTGAGTCCCTATTGTGGCCTCTCTCCATCATGCCCTTGGAGATTTTTTCAAAAGTTTTGGCATTTCGTCTTTTGGAACGTAGTTCTGCTAGCACTGAATCCTCTCCCTATATAGCGATCAGATCCAGTACCTCCCGTACGGTCCATGCTGGTGCTCTTTTTCGATTCTCGGACTGCATGGTTACCTGTGCTGATGAGCTCTGCATGGTCACCTGTGCTCTCCACGCTGGGCAAACAGGAAATGAAATTCAAAAGTTCGCGGGGCTTTTCCTGTCTACCTGGCCAGTGCATCCGAGTTCAGATTGCTGTCCAGAGCAGTCACAATGGTGCACTGTGGGATAGCTCCCGGAGGCCAATACCTTCGAATTGCAGCCACACTAACCCTAATCCGAAATGGCAATACCGATTTCAGCGCTACTCCCCTCGTCGGGGAGGAGTACAGATATCAATATTAAGAGCCCTTTATGTCGAAGTAAAGGGCTTCGTTGTGTGGACGGGTGCAGGGTTAATTCGGTTTAATGCTGCTAAATTCGAGATAAACTCCTAGTGTAGACCAGGCCAATGTTTCAGACACCACGTCTCACAGATTAAAAGAGAGCTGTACTACTTTGCTCAATGCAATATCTTAAATGTTTGCTGAGCAAAGTAGTGCAGCTTCCTTTTGATCTGTGAGAAAAAAGTGTCAATATTTTTTAAAAATGAAAATGTTCAATAAGCTCTCTTGGAGGGTAACATCAGGACCAGCTCTACCTTTTTTGCCGCCCCAAGCGGCGAAGCAAAAAAAAAAAAAAAAGTGGCCGCAGCAGTGCTGCCGAAGAAGGAAAAATGAAAAAGCTGCCACCGAACTGCCAGCGAGTCAGAGTGCCGCCCCAAGAACGGACGAGTGCCGCCCCTTCAGATTTGCCACCCCAGGCACCTGCTTCCTTAGCTGGTGTGTAGAGCCGGCCCTGGGTAACATTCATTTTGTGCCACTTGTAAAAGGGAAGGGTCATCTTCAAGAAATTAAAATGTGAACATTAGAGAAAACTAAAAGCATTTCTGTTTAGTGCTTCTGAGAAACTTCACACACGGTGGGCATCGGAACTGATTTTCTCTCTACAGCTTCCAGGGGTTATTTAGAGTATGAAATTAGCCAAAGAAATAAAATCTAAGGGACAATTCTTGTGGCTGAGAGGAGAGGGGTATTTTTCATGTTGTAGTCCTTATATGGGAGAGCTGTGAATAGATGTCAGGGGTTTGTGGTCTTCTGATACTGCTGAACAGGGCTGGATTAACCTTTTGTGGGCCAAGAGCCAAACATATTTGTAGGCCCCCGTGTAATCGTTGTTTTGGGTCCCTTCCGAGTGAGGGCCTGATGTGGCGGTGCCATTGGTGCCATGGTATACCTGGTACTGAATCTCAGAGACATTTTTCATTTTGATCACGCACCTCTGCAAAACTATGTGTATTGCCATACACAGCTTTCTCAGCCCTCAGTTTTTCTCACTGAGCTATACCCATGTGGGTTTACTAGTGTTCACAGTGAGCAGAACTTTCATAGTGAACAGGGAAACTCCCCACAGATTTATCTCCTTCCTCATTCAGACATTCTATAGCCATGTCTCCAGTACCACCCTATTTCACCAGTCACTGTACGTGGCTCTGGCCTCAGCTCAATAAAGTTCCACAGCCAGCAGATGCCTGATCAGTTCTGACAAATCCCTTCCCCAGCACCCTTCCTGCCATTTGAGCAAGCCACTTGCAAACACCATTTCCCCAACCCTGGATAAGTGAGCACTTAGCCCCTTGGAACCTGAAGTCACCAGCCTTCTTTCTCCCTCTGCTCCCATCTACATGCTATTCCACTATGTGGTCACCACCACCTCTCCCCATGCTTGTTTCCCTTCTATCTTGGACGTGCTCTCCAGCCAGCAGGTCCTATTCTCCCCCTGCAAGCCTGACCTGCTTCCTCTTTCCCTGCTCCTCTTGATATTCCTTTCCTACTGCTGAGCTCTGTTCCTTGAGGTTAACTCCAGTTTATACGCTCCTAGCTCTAATGGCCCCCCGTAATCAGAGAGGAACCTGTGGCTTCCCTGGCTACAGCCATCGGACCAATTGCCAGAGGCCAGCCTTAGACAGCTGCACCTACTAGCTGCAGGAGGGTGGCAATTCCAAGGCTGAGCATGCTTGAACCTTGCAACAGCAGCATTAGGGACTCTGTCTCAATCCTCAACGCCGGCCCTAGGCAGCTGCAGACTCTGCAGTAAAGTGCTTCCCTACTCCAGGCCATGGCTTTAAGTACCTGAGATGCCTATCACCGGCAGCAGGAGCCCCCAATTCCCATGCACCCCTCAGCTAACACATAGTCATGCAGAAGGTGCAGCATGGATGATTTTAGAGGCTGGGGCGCCAGGAGGTTCCCCACCCCTGCGCAGCAGCTCTGCAACAAGCTCACACTGCCTCCCTCTGCTGTGGGACCGGGACCCTATGAAGATAGTGGAGTTACCCTGTGTATAACCAGTTCCACCCAAAGCCTGCTGTTGAATAGACGGGGGACCCAGCTAGATGGTAGTAGGCACTGTGGTATGGAAACGGTAGAAAACCACTGCCTACCGTTTAGTGCAGCATTGCCTGAAAAGAATGATCAGAGAAGCTCATATTTCTCTTAACAGTAACTATTTCCTGTTGCCATTTTTTCTTCTAAAAATTGCAACAAAATAAATCAGTACAGGAAGATGATAACTGAGATGTATAAAACGACTGGTTCCTAAAACAGAATTAGTGACATTGTCTAGAAATACTGGGTCAAATTAGTTACACTGCAGTCAAAGTTAAACCGAGAATAAATTTGGGTCATTATGGTTTTCCCCAGGGGCACAGCTGTATTCCACAAAACACAGTCACAGTTTTTGCCAGTGGCATGTGTTTTATCAGAGGGGCAGCACTCTCTGATAAGGCTGCTGACATCTGTAACGTGCATGTCACATCAATAAAACATTTGCCCAGCTAATCAAATGGACACCAATGGGTACATTTCTAGCGCCACGAAGGATAGATGAGATGTACAACTCCAATTTACAAAACAGGAGGGTGTTTTTTACTGTAGTTTGCCCACACCTTCAGGACTGGAAATGTACCACCAAAGCCCTAAGAGCTACGTTCTGGGGAGATGAGAGAGGAAAGAACGGAGGAGAAAAGGAACTGCACCCAACTAGCAGCATTCACAGCCTCTTACCTGCACAAGCGATATTCCTATTATAATAAAATGTCCAAGTGGCAGCAGAGCATCTAACTACCAATTCCACTTCTGTGTCTCCTGCCCCAGGGACCGTTGGAGACTGGAAGAACACAATGACTGTGGCACAGAGCGAAAGGTTTGACAATGTTTTTAAGGAGAAAATGAAAGACCTGTCTTCCACGTTCAGCTGGGATATTAATGACGACATATAGGCTGGTTTCCAGATGGAAAGAGGTGAAAGCGCGCTAAAGAGAATGAAAATACGTTTTTGTCTCCAGTGTTCATAAAAATCCATCATTCTGTGCAAATTAAAGATTTTAAACCTGCAAAAATGTTTACTTCTTACACGCATTTGCACATCACCATAGTACCCCAGTTCTAAGCTATGAAAATGTGTTACATACTGTCATGTTCTGGGGTGCAATCCAGGCCAGTCAGGGGTTGTTTCCCCACATGTCCTATAAACCTGGGTGTCTTAACTGCCCTGAGGCTGTGGCTGACAGCCTGGACACCAACAGCCAGCAGCCAAACATGCAGTATCCTGAGTGTCTGCTCTGCAGCCCTGGTTCAGTGCTCTGACCCCATCCGCCTGCCTACAACACAACAGCCCCACTGTAGTCTCGGTCACCCAATTACCTCGTGCAGCGGTGACCCAAACACACTCCCGGTCCTGAATTTTCCCCAAACTGCTTTCCAATATCTAGCCCTTTCCTGGACCATTCAGAGAGATATTAAGGTTCATTTGTCCCTTTAAAGATACACTACCCAGCAGCTTACCACATTATCCGGAGTTAATATTCACTTTAAATCAAACACAGCCATGGGTTAGTTTTGATTAAAAGTAAAGCAAGTTTATTAACCAAAGGAGTTTGGATTTTAAGTGAGTTCAAGTACAAAGGATAGAGTTAGAAATGGTTATAAGCAAAATGCTTTCTAGAGACTAAGACTTAACAAAACAAGTTACAGCCTCTCTTCAGGATAAGATTCTTATAACACAACCTTCCTGCAAGATGGCTGACCACCCTTCAGGTCAGGATCAGGCTTTCCCACAAAGTCCAATGTGCTTGGTTCCTTTGTCTTCTTACATGAAACATAACTTGGGGTTCTTTGCTCCTTTCTTTTATAGTCCAGTGTACCTTTAATATGAATTCTTTTGAAGGTTACACCTCAACATAAACTATGAAGAAGGTAACATGGAGTCTCCTGGCGACGGAAATTCCATGCTGATTTCTTCCCCTGCTGGTGTTTGCAAAATGCAAATTGATGTATTTCCTGCAATCTCCTGCTGCTGTAATGCTGTGTGGTTATCTTCTCCCCTGTTGGCTTGATGGTCTTGTTTACCTTCTGTGTAAATTGCTTTCCCATTGTCTCTTAATGTAGCTTCTTGGTGGCAGAACCACATTCCTTTGCCTAGGGTGGGGTAGCTTCACCCTGCCCTGCCTGACAGACACATTTTGATAACATAATTTCCAATATGTTTGTAATTTTGAATTTGTCCCCCATATCCACATCACACAATAATAGCATTGATCAGTATATGTGATGGGGTGTACCAACCCCGCACTGACCCAGCAAGGGTTAACCACACACTTTGGGCCTGGGAGGCCACGCCCTCTCGTCCTTGCTGGTCATGCTCCAGGTGGAAGCAATATATAAAAGGGAGCAGCTCAGTTCAGTCAGGGCTGGCTGATGAAGGAGAATGGATGCATGTTACAGGCTCCTGTCAGGAATCTAATCGAGCCCCATACTATGGAGATTGGGCACCCGCAGAGGATGAGAGAGATGGAAAGACACTTGCTCTGGAGGAATCAATGGTAAATAGGAAGCCTGAAGCTAAAACCAGGACTACTGTTTCCCTGGATCAGGACCTGGTGGAGTAGGGCAGGCCCAGGTCCCCCTACCCCTCCCTGTGCCTAACACTAGGCCTCTCTGCCCTGAAAACAAAGGCAGCTGCATTGACTCTGGCCACTAGGCATCACTGCCCTGAACACAAGAGCAGCTCCATAGACTCTGGCTGCTAGGCCTTGCTACCCTGAAGGAGAGGAGCCACATTGACTGAAAGGGGGTGTTTTCCCCCTTCTTTCTCCCCTGATGGCCTGATACCCTGTGACAGTATGTTATTAGCTTTTCATTGCTATCTTACATGACACCTTCTGGACACAGGTTATGACATTAGTGAGTTGGGGTACATTCCATTCAGCTGGTCAGGCCAATTGAAACTCACTACCAGATACCAATGTGCCCTTTGCCGTCTTGCACTGGGATGCCGTTAGGGTCACACATGCAAAACACTTAACTACACACAATGCCCTCCCCTGCACCCACACCACCTCTAACCCACACATGTAGAATAAGTTTTGACAAAACCCTACTGGAATCATAGCATCTCAGTGAAGTAGTATGGATTTTGGTAGAATTTATTTTAAGAGCTGAACAAAGTTATGAGACTTCTATAGACACATGCCTCTTTTTTTTTTAATTGGAGTTGTATGTCTAATCCACCATGCATGGAATTAGAAACTTACCCTTTATTGTCCATCTGAGTCACTGGTGAAAGCCTTTGTTGGTATGACTTGCATACTACAGATGTCAGCAGCCTTATCGGAAAATGCTGCACTTGTTTTTAAACACATGCCTTTGGTCTAAACTGGATTCTAGCAGTACCATCATGGAAAATCATAATGGCCCAAATTCATCCTTGATCTAACATTGACTGCAATGAGTATTTCTAAATAATTTCACCAATTCTGTTTTAGGCACCAGTAGCCCAGCTCAGTTCCTATCATCGTGTAGTGATTTTTTCCCATCACAAATGTTAGAGGGAAAACTGGGAGTAGGAAGTAGTTACTGTTAAAAGTAGTATGAACTTCTCTGAACATCCTTTTCAGGCAATGCTCTATTTGATACAAGACAGTGGTTTTCCACCTTTCCCATTTCCATTCCAGGGCCCCACTCCCATCTATTGGGAACCCCCTCTCTTGTTCAGCAATATTGGAAGAGCAGGGTGGATGCTAACCCCTGATGTCTACTCATGACTGAGAACCTAAGATATAAGGGATCTCACATGCTAAACACCCATCTCCTGCTCTCTGACACAAGAATAATTTCTTAGATTTTATTTATTTGGCTGGATTCGTGCTCTAAATAATCCCTGGAAGCTATAGGGCACCTGACCTGATCTGTTTCACCATTTGTGAAATTGCACAGTAACCACTAAACAGGATTGCTTTCAGTTTTCCCTACTGAGCACAGATTTTAATTTTGAGGGGGGAAATCTTAACTTTTATAAATGGCACAAAGTGATTGTTACCATCCAAGAGAGCTTGTATAATAATGTTTTTTGTCAAAACATGTCACTGTATTTCACAGCTTTGTTCTGTGGACCCTTACAATGTTGCACTGAGCAAAATAGCATAGCACTCTCTCTCTCTCTCTCTCTCTCTCTAGGCAAGACTTATTTTAAGAGCTTATTTTTAGGCACTGTGGCAGATGATGAGAGATTTAGAGGCCAGGGTAGTAGCCTTATGGAGCAATCTAGTGAAGGGTAATTTGAGTATAAGGGGCAACATGCAAGAAGGCACAGATCATTGTGTGAAAAACTGACATATGGGCAGATAAGACTTAGGCCTTGTCTACACTGCCACTTTACAGCACTTCAGCTTTCTCGCTCAGGGGTGTGAAAAAACTCCCCCCTGAGCGCTGCAAGTTCCAGTGCTGTAAAGTGGCAGTGTAGACAGTGCACCAGCACTGGGAGCCGCTCTCCCAGTGCTGGGAGCTACTCCCCTTGTGGGGGTGGGTTTTTTTACAGCCACGACTATACAGCCATGTTAAAGCACTGCCGCAGCAGCGCTTTATCGTTGCTAGTGAAGACATACCCCTAGTATCACTGCAGCCTTGAAGGAGGAGAAATAGGAAGGATGCTGGAAAGAGAGCAGCTAAGTAGAGAGAGGCACAGTACTAAAGGACCATAAAGGGGAGGACAAGCAGAATGAATATGATGCCATGAAATGAAAGGAGCTAATGGAATGATTTAAACAAAGGATTTGTGGGATAAGAATCATCTGCAAAGAAGATACCAAACTAACAGAGTTTTGTATGGGGCTGAGTGGAACAATGTGCAATTGGGCAGGGCTGAGGGGAGGCATTTACAGTAATCAAGACAGGAGATAAGAGGGCCCTGAATGAGATTTCTTGCCATGTGCACAGAATAAAGAGGCTAAATCAGTGATTCTCAAATTTTTGTAGTGGTGACCCCTTTCACATAGCAAGCCTCTGAGTGTGCCCTCGCCCCGGCCCCCCAATAAATTAAAAACATTTTTAAATATATTTAACACCATTATAAATGCTGGAGGCAAAGTGGGGTTTGCGGTGGAGGCTGACAGCTTGCGACCCCCCACATAATAGCCTCATGACCCCCTGAGGGGTCCCGACCCCCAGTTTGAGAAACCCTGGGCTAAATCTTAGATGGTGTAGAGCAGTATTTCTCAACTGGTGGGTCAGAACCTTTGGGGGGAGGTGGTCTGTTTCCCTCCACTCCTGTTTCCCTCCATCCTATCCTACATATTTTCCGTATCTGCAGCATCTCCTCCTGGCTGTCTCATAGTCAACATAAACTCCCCATCTTCCATGTGATTTAGGCCTAAAACCCGGGGATTGTCTCGGCCTCCTTTTCTGTTGCTCCTCACACCCAGACAATGTTTAACTCTTTCTGCTTCTTCCTCTGTGGCAGTGTCTCTAAAACTTTTCAGGTTGGAGACTTCGGATTTGAAGTTTAAAAAAATGCAACCTGTCCATACATTTTTATTCTTATAGTAAATGTACTGGTGGTGATAATAAGATGTGTGTTTGTTTTTCCAGAGGTTGATAGAGAATACTTGACCTTCATGGGTAAGCTTGTGCAGGAAGTGAGATTTTTCTTTGATTTAAATTATAATAAAATTTTCAACACATCTGGACCTCTGATTGCCTTTTGTGACCACCTCCGCACAAAGGTTGTGACCAGTTGAGAAATACTGCTCTGCATCATCTAAGATTTAGCCTCTTTGTTCTGTGTACACGGCAAGAAATCCTATATATAGGAAAGACTTATTTTAAGAGCTTATTTTTATATATAATCTTTTCACATCTTGCAACTCTGGTACCATGGTGATGATGAGTGTGTAGATCTATGTAATTAGTAGGAAAAAAATGCTAGTTTCAAGGCTTGAACTTGCACAGAACTATGGATTTTAATTTGAACATTTTGTACAAGACTTTCAGTCCACTTTCACATCTTCAAACTGGAAATCAGCCTATATTTCTTCATTAAGATCCCAGAGGAACTTGAAGGGCAGGTCTTTCATTTTCTCATTAAAAACCTTGTTGAACTTTTCACTTTGTGACACAGTCATTATGTTCTTCCAGTCTCCAACGGTCCCTGAGGTGGAAGGAGGAGAAGGAGACGTCGTGGTTAGATGCTCTGCTGCCACCTGGACTTTTTATTATAAACTGAATAAAGCCTGTGCAGCAGGTAAGAAGCTGTGAATGCTGCTAGTTGGGAACAGTTCCTTTTCACTTCATTCCTACCTCATCTCCCCAAAGTGTAGCTCTCTAGGACTTTGGGAATTTGAAAATATATTTCCAGATCTGGGGTGTTGCTGAAATATAGCACAGACACCAGTTTTTAAACTTAGAATTATGTGTGCTGTCCACCATACCGTTATTGTCCCTCTGATTAGCTAGTGGAAGCTTTTGATCATGTGACTTACATGTTACAGATGTCCGCAGCCTTATCTGAAAACGCTGTCCCTCTGATAAACCATGCTATTGGTGAGAATTGATTTTGTTTTTTGTAGAATCTAATGGAGTCCCTGTAGAAAATTTTAATGGGCCAATGACTTGACAGCAATGGCAGTAATTTGACCCAATAATTTTAGACAGTGTCACCAATTCTGTTTTAGGCATTAGTAGCTTTATACAACTCCATTACTATCTTGTACCGATTTCTTCTGGCACAAATCGTAGAGGGGAAATTGGGAACAGGAAGGTGTTATTGTTAAAAGAAATATGAATTTCTCTGAACATCCTTTTCAGATAATGCTGTACTTAACACTAGGCAGTGGTTTTCTACTTTTCCATACTGGGACACCTGTTTCCATTCCAGGGCCCTGCTCCCTTCTAGGTAAAATCACCTCCTATTTAGCAATATCAGAAGAACAGAGTCATCACAAGCCTGTAACATCTATTCACAATTCCAAGTTGAGAACCTCCAAGATAAAGGATTCAACAGGATAAAAACCCACCTCCTCCTTCCAGGCACGAGAATTGTTTCTTAGATTTTATTACTTGGATTATTTCATGCTCTGCATTATCCCTGAAAGCTGTCGTGCATCTGAACTGATTTATCTCACCATTTATGAAGCTGCACAGAAGCACTAGACTTTCTTTTTCTCCTAGTGTTCACAGATTTTAAGAAAACAACAAGGAGTCCAGTAGCACCTTAAAGACTAACAGATTTATTTGGGCATAAGCTTTCATGGGTAAAAAACCCACTTCTTCAGATGCATGGAGTGAAAATTACAGATGCAGGCATTGTTATACAGACACATGAAGAGAAGGGAGTTACCTCACAAGTGGAGAACCAGTGTTGACAGGGCCAATACAATCAGGGTGGATGTAGTTCACTCCCAATAATTGACAGCCCCCCAACCTGAAGCAAATACACACCAGCAACTACACACCACTCCACAGAAACACTAACCCAGGAACCAAACCCTGTAACAAACCTCGTTGCCAACTCTGTCCCCATATCTACTCGAGTGACACCATCAGAGGACCCAACCACATCAGCCACACCATCAGGGACTCATTCACCTGCACATCTACTAATGTGATATATGCCATCATGTGCCAGCAATGCCCCACTGCCATGTACATTGGCCAAACTGGACAGTCTCTTCATAAAAGAATAAATGGACACAAATCAGACATCAGGAATGGTAACATACAAAAGCCAGTAGGAGAACACTTCAATCTTCCTGGACATTCTATAACAGATTTAAAAGTAGCCATACTTGAACCAAAAAAACCCTTCAGAAACAGACTTCAAAGAGAAACTGCAGAACTAAAATTCATTTGCAAATTTAACACCATTAATTTGGGCTTGAATAGGGACTGGGAGTGGCTGGCTCACTAAAAAAGCAACTTTTCCTCTCCTAGAATTGACACTTCCTCATCAATTATTGGGAGTGAACTACACCCACCCTGATTGTATTGGCCCTGTCAACACTGGTTCTCCACTTGTGAGGTAATTTCCTTCTCTTCATGTGTCAGTATAACAATGCCTGCATCTGTAATTTTCACTCCATGCATCTGAAGAAGTGGGTTTTTTACCCACGAAAGCTTATGCCCAAATAAATCTGTTAGTCTTTAAGGTGTTACTGGACTCCTTGTTGTTTTTGTGGATACAGACTAACACAGCTACCCCCCGAGACTTGACAGATTTTAAGGGTGGCTGTTTTGGGGGGGGGGTTGATCTCAACTTTTATAGATGGTATGAAGTGAATTTTTCAATTTTTTGAAATGTTGACTTTTTTCCTCTTTCAAACTTTTTACTATTTGTTGGCCCTGATCTGCTCTGCAAACAAACACTTATGGTGTTGCACCAAGCAAAATAATGCATCTCTTTTTTCCACCTTTGGGAAATAAAGCCCCACTCACAAACTTTAATGCCACAAAGCCAATTGTTACCTAGGGACAGAAAGTTTTGTTTGTCATTGGAAGTCTTAGGGTACGTCTATACTTACCCGCTGGTTCGGCGGCCAGCAATCGATCTTCTGGGATCGATTTATCGCGTCTTGTCTAGACGCGATAAATCAATCCCGGAAGTGCTCGCCGTCGACGCCGGTAATCCTGCTCTGCAAGAGGAGTAGGCGGAGTCGACAGGGGAGCCTGCCTGCCGCGTGTGGACCCACGGTAAGTACCTTTAAGTTCGAACTAAGATACTTCGACTTCAGCTACATTATTCCCGTAGCTGAAGTTGCGTATCTTAGTTCGAACTGGGGGCTTAGTGTGGACCAGCCCATAGACAGTTAGCTTCAACACATCTTGTGCCGGGATCTGCAGGATTAAATGTTTATAACAAGTGGCTGCTTCCGCCTTACCTCTGCGAAGAAAATTGTCTCTGCCTTTCTCCAAGATACATGTCTTGTCCTCGTAGTTTGACCTGGGATCAGATTTCATGTTATCGAATGTAGCCTTCCCCACAACAACATCCAACTCCTTTTCAGTCAGCCGTTTTCCTAAGAAGTCACAAATTTTCAGCACAGCACTTCTGAGATCCTGAAATGAGCATTATTTCAATTTAACAATTCCCAAAAGTAGAAAAGCAAAAGAGCCAAATTTAAAAAAAAAAGAGAGAGAGAGAGAATAGAGGATAATGGGATATTTCAATAAGGATGGGAAACTCAACGTGGAATGAAGGGTACTTCTCTTATCACACTGTTCGTAGGCAAGATTTTTATTCACTGTCACTGGTTACAGCAACATCAAATCCTGACATGTGAGTAGCAAGAAGAGTCCTTATAAGTCTCTTCTTTAGGTAACCCTTCCTCATGGCCTACCAAGAGAGAACAAGCTCATTTCTGGGTGTGAGAATACTATTGCTAACATTGTGTGATAAAGGCTGACAATTTTCTGAGCAAAGAATCGGTCTCATAGCTGTGGTTTGGAAATAGAAGGATCCATCTCAGGAGTTGGATCTCTTAATGGGAAGGGTCTTTCCTTGCTTTGTTAATCAGTCTTGATGCTATTCTCAGTGTGCTCCCTGCCAGTGCCAGCACTTCTCTCCCTATTTAGCTAAGAGGTGCACTCATCTAGGCTTTGTTTCACTTAAAATATAAAGTAAAATTGGTTTTAAATTGATTTAGTTCAACCAACATACCCCCTGGGTGGCCCCTCTTAAAGTAGTGTAAACCTGACTTCTGCTGATCTAGCTGAAGTTGATAAGGAATCAAACGTAGCTGAGCTGGTAGAAAAATGAAAAACTAATTTCTAAAAAATTCAAACTGCTGAAATTGTTCCCATTTTGGAATCTTTGAAGTGGGTCGTGTTTTGTGTTTTTAAAAGATTTTTTAATAGATAGCTTTAAAAGAGTTATTGATATATTTTAGTTTTTGAAAACTGGGTTTTCAGTAAATGAAAAGCTTCAATTAAAAATTGCAAAAAAACATGTTTCACAAAAAATTAAGAGGAGACCTACAATTTTTTTACAAAATACTTAATTTTGATGAAAACGCATTCTGATCAAAACAGTTTGAGAAGCTGTAATATGTAGCAAATACTCTCCTTTCCCTTAAAGATGCCACATGGGACAGATTATGTAGCTGCTTTTTTGCTTTGCAGACAAGGAGCGGAAATAAAGCAAGTTAACTACCCCAATGGTTCTCACATTCATCATATTTCTTCACTAGGAAGTAGATTAGACTGCCTGGGCTGCTTCCAGAGGTATTATGTATGCAGTGTTGTTGTAGATGGGTCAGTTCCAGGATATTAGAGAGACAAGAGGGTGAGGTACTATCTTTTATTGGACCATCTTCTGGTGTGGGGAGAGAGGGAAGGAGGGAGAGAGATGCTCTTGCGCTACACAGCTGTTTCTCTCACCAACAGAAATTGATCTGATAAAAGATATCTCACACACCCACTTTGTCTTATCATAGGTATCAGGTTGTCACACAGACTCCACTGGGAAGGTCACAATCAATTTGCCCTTTCTTCTTCCCTGCGCTCTTGCAGTATTCCATACTCATTGATTGCCTTGTATTGCTCATTAAGCCCTGCAAGCATGTGTAGGGGCAAATACCACTCCCCAGGACACTCATTTACTGAGAGGGAAATTCTATAATTCCTTTTCTTTTATCCATTTTCAGCTTTCACATCACATTACACATCTGTGGTGGTGTGAGGAAACTGGCTCATTATTACAGCTGTTCAAAAAATTTCTATTGAATGGTTTTGTTTTGTTTTTTAAAAAGAAATTATTAGAATTGCCTTTAATTGCTGTCATGTGTGGTTTGTTATTTTATAATTAAAGAAAAAAGAGAAAACATTTCAGTTTTAGGGTTTCAGCAGCGTGTATGTGTGTGTGTGTGTGTGGAATAGTTTTGAAGAGAAATTTTGACAAAAATATTTTATTTTACATCAAATCTTTCCTCATTTTGGGGGGGGACGGGACGCTTTTCCCCAAAAGCTCTAATCATTATTTATTTCAGCAGATGTTCCTTATTTTACTATTATATAATGTAGCATATATTTCACTATATGTTAAATTCAGACAATATGCAGCCCAAAAGACTATGGGTGGAATTTTCAAAAGTGACTATGTGAGTTAGACATGTAAGTCCTATTGAAAGTCAATGGGAGTTCTGTGGCCAACTCAGAAACCTCCCATTTTTCAGTTGGGTTCTTTGGAAAAATCTCACCCTATGGTCTTGATTCTGCTGCCCTGACATTGAGAAGTATTTTTTCAAGGCATGTCAGTGAAATCCATGAGACCAATGTATTTTGTGAGGAGTCACGTTGTGAGCAAGGTGGCAGAATCTGATTGGTTTACTGGATGGTGAAGTGAGGCATTAGGCCTGGCCTACACTTAGAAGTTAGGTCAACATCACTAAGATGCTCAGGGAACCATAGTATGGGGACAGAGAGGGATATACAGATCCCCCTGGTATGTGGCAGAGGTGGGAGTGGGGGGCACATAGTGCTCTCGCATGGGTGGGTGGGAATGGAGGTGAGACACACAGAGCCTCTGGCATAACTGAGGGAGTGGGGGTGGGGAGAGTTGCAGGAAGTCTCTGCCAAAGGGGATAGGAGAATGGGACACTGGGAGCAGGGGAGAAGGAAGGGATGCAAGGCAGCCCTGGCCCAGAGATACAAAGTTTGTGCCGCTTTAGTGTTTAGATAGAATATCAACAGGCCTCACCTTCTTCATCTCCTCATAAGTAAGGAAGAGAATATTGTAATCAGCTCTGTGGGTGTACCAGCCTCTGATGTGATCAAACCACGAGCTAGCAAGTACTTACAAGGGGGAAAAAATAATCGAACGTTAATGATCTCTAAGAGCAAAATAGTTCAATTATCAACACTTTAGCACCCTAATACTGTCACAAGCAGGGCTGAGAATGACTGTTTAAGTCCCTTCTTTAAAGACTAGTGGAAAACTTCAACAGGAAAGATTGAGGAAATTGTCTCAACCCAGAAGACCCCGTAACCCAGTGGTTAGGACATGTGTGAAATCAGGAATTTCAACCAGGGTATCCCACATCCTCTAAGTGCTCTAACCCCTGCATGATAGAGTAAAAAGGGGCACCACCTCTCCTGGCTGTGCTGTCATGTCAGTCCTCACGTGGTAGATGGTCTTTAAGTGGCCTCTGAGCATACCTAGTGGATAGGGTTCCACGGGCAAGATAGACAGGGGACTGCCTACTTTGTGAAGCCTACCACGTGAGCAAAGAACCAAGCTGCTCAGATGTGTCAGGACTAAGATATCTGTGCACATGCCCAGTGGTAGAAATGGAGGCTCCTTGGGGACTTTGCCAGGGGAAACTTAGGCATCTAGGGAATTTAGGCACCCACAGAGTTAGATGGCAGCTGAATGGGGCTTGTGAACAGGGGTGGCTCTAGGTACCAGCAAAACAAGCAGGTGCTAGGGGTGGCATAATGCTGGGGCCCCAGCTCCGACCTGAGGAAGTGTCCTGGGCTGGATCCTGACCACCCTGTTGTTCACTGACCAGGGCTGTGCGGTGGGACAGGGGGAGCTGGCTCAGTGGGGAGCGTGTCCCTGCCGCTCTCCCATGGGCAGCGGCCAGACCCCCTCAGGCAGGAGCCAGTAGCACGGCCCTGCCCCAGTCGCGGAGCAGGGGGTGGCGGCGGAACATGGCGGCCGGGCGGGCCGCTCCTCCAGCGCCGGCTGCGGGCTCCTCCTCGGCTTGTCCCTGCCTCCGCCTCTGCCTCCTCCTTCCCCCTGCGCTGCCTCCTGCCCGGGGAGGGGAGCGGCAGCCTGGGCTGAGCCAAACTCGAACCGTTGCGCAGGCCAAGCCCCCGCGGCCGGCTTGCGGGGGTCCCGGGGAGCGGGAGGCCCGGGCACGCTGCCCTGGGATCACCAGCCGCCAGCTGCTCTGCCCCGGACCCCGGCAGCCAAGCCCCGCAGCCGCCCCAGCTTGCTCCGCGTGGGAGCTACAGGCGGTGCCCCCTGCCCGGCTGGCTCTGTTCCCGGCCACACCGCAGGATGACCGCCCGGGACTCTGAGGTGTTGCTGAGGCTGCCCCACGCCAGGCTCCCCGGGATCTGCTGCCCCTTCAGCCACGGGGGCCCTAGGCCAGTGTGGGAGCCGGGCCGCAGCCCTGCTATCAGAGCCTCCTCCCCTCCCCGCGCTGCATAGCAAGACGTGGGACCGTGGGCAGGGCTGCTACAGCCATTTCAGACTGGGATTGATGCCGGGGGAGCAGAGGTGATTGTGCCTTGTCTGGAGGGACCGGGCAGCCCCCTCCCAACTCCCCCAACGCCCGCTGCTTGCTCCTGCCGGCACGGGGCTGCGACACCCAGCTCCGGAGGGAAGTGCCAAGCCCCCGGGTGTGCTTGCGGGGAAGGAGAGACAGAAGGCAGAGCTGTTCGGTGTCTCCCACGCAGCTCCAGGCACCTCTGGCTACTCGGCAGCGACAGCCAGGCTGGGTAGCCTGCCAGCAGCGTGACTTGGTCCGACCCGCACAGACCACATGAGCCCTGGGGTTGGCGCTGACGTCTTGCCTATGCCAAGGCCTCCGGCTCAGGGGCAGCCCTAGCTCTGCCCAGGCAGACACAGCCTGGCTCACTCCATAAATGAGTACACTAGGAGGAAATTGTTTTATTTCACTAACTACAAATTCTCTGTTTTCATTTAAAAAAAATTTTAAACAGTCAAAAACAAAACAAAACAAAACAAAAATTGCAAACTGCAAACATGTAAAAGCCAAAAAATAGGGGGAGGGGGAAGGGCAAATTTTTTTTTTGCTTGGGGCGGCAAAAAACCTAGAGCCAACCCTGCTTGTGAGAATCTAAATTTTGTGTTTAGGCCCCTAAAGTGGCAGTTAGACACCCAAGACCCCCTTGTGGCTTACCCCTGATTTGAGTTTTACAGACAGTCAGTTACATAGCTAACAACAAGTTGTGCTTTTACCTTTAGACTTCACTGGCCTCATACAATGGTAC